GAGGACACTTCTCAACTACATCAGATACACACAGAGATAGCAATGGGCCTTTTCTATTGCATTGTTATCAGCATACAATATCTCCAGCAAGAGGGCGAGAAAATTGTGGCTCTGCTACAAAATATGGCGCTCTGCCGGTAATAAGAGTATCAAAGGAATGTATTGTCAATTTTAGAATATATTGTAAAGATAGTCAAATGTGTATCATTCTGCCAGGGTCCAATGTTGCTTTCTGTAATGCGTTGAAGCTACGTTATATATTCAATTCTAAAAGGTCACGAATAGTGCATTAGTGTAGTTGTACATTCTACATAGTGCAGCTATACGGAAGTTCATCAAGTTCAAGTCCATGTGTGCCATGTATAAAAGAACTGTACAAGGGACTAAAATATTGCGAATGTAATATGGATTATAGTGTAGGTATTACTCTACATGCAACATTTTAAATCAAACTAATGTATATTCATAGCCGACCATTACGCATTATAAATATATATATACTGATCATGATGTTAACTCTTATGGCTTGTGTAATAGGGCACATGACAGCATTGAAAAATCCTAATGTCAAAGCAACCACTGAACGCCAAATACCATTAGTGCAACCGTGAAAACCACGCACACTAGAATTACTACCGTGTCCTTTTTAAGCGACTGGCATTTTTGGCAGGATGGTAATATAAAGACATCGCCTAGTACTTACTGCCATTTATTCCATAATTATTCTTCAATGTTAGTTAATGGAGCCATCAGCAATAATGTCAACACAGAAATGCTGACATGACCTCCTAAAATGCTGAAATTGCAAGAGGTTGGCATTGGCCATTGGCAGTCACCATTTTCCCCACAGCTAAAATTCTAGCAGAGTGTAATCAACGGCATTCAGATAATGTCTTCTACACTTATCTGCAATTCTATATCTGCAAAAGCAACCACAAAATCCCTCCCATCCATTGCATGGACAGCAAATGTACATGTTGCATGTTGCCTTCCATTGTCGATGTATGTAGTACTTTAAACATTCAATGGATAAAACATTAAATTGGCCAGTACGTTGAAGTCTATGGGTGCTAAGCACTATGTGTGGTCACCTGAGATGCCCCAGGCACATGAAAAACATGACAGAAACGGACTGCAGGCTCCTACAAGCTGTATAAACCAATCCTCTAAAATTGCTGATAACAAACATAACCTGCCAAGACCCGTATCTAACACCACTCATCCCAGGAACACCCACCGTAATCTTTTATGTAATCAAACGGAAATTGTCCACTGGCTAACTTAATGATAGACAGTTGAAGGGGAGAGGAATTGACGGCTACATCTATTTTGCAATTTCCGAAGTGCAAGGACATCAATTTTCAGGCCCATAAGTCAGCGGCCCTACCATTAGTCGCCTGCTTGATGAAATGTCTGATGGTTGGACTCCACAAGTGCCGGCGTGGAGGACTGCTGATGACTCCGGCTACTTTTAAGTCTGAAGAATCTATCGGGAGGATCTGGGAGACAGCTGCACTGAGTGATTCTGGCGCCTTTCTTGCTCTGGAAGAATCCCCGGGTCTTAGAAGTAGCCGAAGAAAAATTGAGAGATGCTATTACTGTCTCCTCGCCTATTTCTGGCGTTCGTGCGTAAAAAGTACAGAATTCACAGCAAACGTTTTATGTCGATTCTACTCAACATCAAACAATTGCATCTTCAGCAAAGAAACCCTGACAGAAGTTTAACAGGCTAATTTTCTTGAATGAAACTTAGTTATGGTTGCAAATGGATCGGATTTAGAAGAATGCTTAGGTGCCTTGGATGAATTAAAGGAAGTTGAAAAAAACTTCCGACGTGGGTTCATAAAAATGTATTACCAAAAAGAGTGACACAACAACAATCGATGCAATCATTGCATCGGCTTGAAGGTTAACGACCGAATTAGATTCTTCTGATCTTAAAATGCACAAAGGCGCTGAGCTCAGAGTCATTCTGTAGCCATAGTGTAAGGTCCATGAACCTTCTAATCTCCCGACTTAACGGAGAACGCCCGTGCCTTTGCGTGAACGATAAGACAATCCCATGGAAAGAATTGTAAGGCACCACATGCTTTTCATCGTTAACAAGGATTTTCTTCGTCATTTTTCATGGCCGCTCGTATTGTAGGAGACTGCTAATGTTATGGCTGTTACACAGCTTGGTAGAGTCAAATAAAGCACAGAATAGATAACGTTAACGCTAGCAAAACGGTACTGTACAATAATGGGGTAAAAGGCATGTATACGAAATAGGAAAGAGTGAATTTGGTACTTTCAGAAGTACAGCTGAATACCATAAAGTTAAAAAACGTAAAGCTTAACTGTTATCATACCTTAAAGTTAAATTACAAATTATAACTTCGACACAGAGCATCAATGTAGGTGCGATACAATTTCCATCCGTTCTACATTTACATTGAGTACTGTGGTAAAGGGTTATATAAAACTAGGTATAAATATAGCTCGTTAAAGAGAGCTAATTAGAACGTTCCAGTAAGCTGACTTTTTTGTATCCAATGTATCAAATGTGCAGCAAGGGAACGGTAAACCATCTTGTCTATAAAAGTTTGAATGCGCTACGGCCCCATATGTCAGATCGTCATTCATAGGGTATGCAGGTACAAGGACAATACAGCCATGCGATCCATAGACGCATCAAAGAAAGGTCAAACCTAGATTGAATTGCAACAGCTGCAGTCTCCTCCCTGTGGCCCAAGTCAAGAGGAAGGCGCCACGAATCCCACTGAGCCTTGCAATAGTAGACTTTCAAAGGGACCAAAAATGCCAGGTTTGTTTGTAGCCATCTCAACAAATGCATCGTAAGCAATTAGTAGCATTCCCAGGTGCAAGGTTATATTGGAATTGATGGGGACTCCAAACCCACAGCAGATTTGTCTGTTGACAGAATTACCATCAGCGCAACCTGTGCATTTTCTAAAATTCATAATAAAGAGGTGCCGTTCTCAAGAGAAACGCTTATATCAACGGCATTACCTCACACTAGAAACTTGACAGTTACATGGCAAATATATACAACACTTCTGTGAGTTCCTACCATTGTATATTAGAGCATTGCTTTCTCAATGTGACGCACGTCAAAATAACGAGCCTCCAACTGATTTTTATTCGTTCATGGAGACCACTAATCCCGAAGGCGCTGACCTATAGCTACCCTCCTATTAACTAGCAGGCCTTGTGGATAAACTATTAGAGGAAACATATTGATCAAGACAGTCCCTTCTCGGTCCCTTGATGTAACGAATCTCACGCAGCGGCTTCCACCGGGGAGGCCTTCACCTGCTAAGTGCATTTTCTCTGCAGTTGCCAGATACATCACTCAATGACACTTAATTCAGATTCGTACAACTTGTAACATTTGGCCCTTCGCAATTGCATGGTAAGATGAGTTGTCACTGACGGTCTGGTAGAGCTTTTACCAGAGAGCTTACGGTTGATGCCGGAGTTGGTAGAAGAGTACGGAATGTCAATCCATGTGATTTACATTCCCAACATGTACTGCCTGTATTGTGTAGCTCTCCCGAAGTTGTTACGTCAACCGAATGGATCGACCAATGCAATAAAGCTAGGTTTGAATGGACCCAATTCCCCAAAATACAAACAAAAAAGGCTGTTTCATGATGTGTGATATAGATGACATGTGCGTCTCCAGAGGCTCAGCCAATCTCATTTTCTGCGTGGTTAGCCACTTAAACAGGGTCTAGGAAGGAAATATGTCTGGAGGTCTTCTTTTGAGGATTCTAACCAAGTAAGGCATATCATGATGCAATCTTTGACGTCTTTCATAGAAATCTAATAACGCCAGTCGGTCATATAGTGATACTTAGAGTTTCAAATCATCGTAAGTGCAAACACTATTCAGCCCTATCAAAAAGTGCCTCGCACAAGCTTTGCGTAAAGGCAATATATCAAAGTAGTTCCAAATAACCTAGAATCATTATTACGCGCGTGAGTGCTGAGAAAATTGAGCATTTCATCAACTAGATCGTGAAAATTGCTGTATAATGACGTTGCAATGAAACGTAGCATACACAAGCTATAGATTAAAGACAAATGTTATTGGTAATTTCGTATAATCTCTATCTCTATCCCTCATATAATCAAACGACACTTCTGACATCCCCATATGTATTTTTGTCATGTCTTATGTAAGTAAGATACGTTTCCACTTGGGGCGATACATAAATTGTGTATTTATTTCATTTGAATGAAATAAATAAATGCATGTTATATACATAGAGAGAGCTCATCAATACAAAATTCATGTTTCGCCTCAAGTCTCCACATATCATACATAAGATATGCCAGAAATACATATGGTGAAGTCAGGGGTATCGTTTGACCCTTTTACTCCCATCTTCCTCCTTGTGCAGTTACATAGTGTTATCTTGTATTCTATTCTCTGTGAGCATCTGCCTGTATCTATACATCTTCACACTAATACAAAAAATACTGAAAGATTAATGTGTTCAAATGCGCGAATGCATTGCAAGACACTTATATCAAGCTGCAGCTGATACGAAAAGTAATGATACTGTCACGAGCAGCAATGGTCGATTTAACACATAGCACGGCAGACCTAATGCTGAGATATTGGCTGCCAAGTTAAAATTCCCCGCAGGACACTATATCAAAAAAGTGATGGGCTGATACGAAAATTAATAACGTTGCATTACAGTTTAGGCTGCGCTCCAAGCTATGCCGCACATTGATTCAGAGGATAGTTTGGATGTTAGAAATGTGATAACAAAGATGTATGCGAACAGGCGCTGCCGATGTGATTCAAAGGCTGTTGAAATTGTTTCTCGTATCACAATAACATTGTCATCATCTCAAACATGCATGTATGTATAGAAACGATGCATCAGCAAGTCCGTGAACTAGAGCCAGATTCGTACACACCAGCGGACCTGATGTAACTCTAACACATGTTGTAATAAAGACTTTTTTGGGCCCCAATGCAGATGCTGTCCGAGGCCAGTCCAGGAACCAGAGACAGCACATAGGTAGCTTAAAACCGTCACCCTCCACAGGTCAGTCATGGTACCTTAGCCTTCACAACAGGCTTTGTAACTGGGCTCTGTTGGGTTTCTGTTTGTATACCAGTTTTAATGGCTATCAGAAGGCTGATATACATTCAAAAAACAAAGAGTCCATCCACGAAGTCTGGTGGGAGGTTAGTTGGTACCCAAGCAGATGTAGTTGACCCCCACCCCACATACGCAAGGCAACTAGCTAGCTTCAGTATTAGGTAGCAGTCTTGACGTCTGTAGTTAACCTTAGAAGGGCGCACCTTTGTTGTTCGTCATGTGTACGCACGTGTGTTGTGTGCTCAAGTGCTGCGTTGTGCATAATCGCCTAGGCCATGTCTATCAAAGCATTGTGCGGAATGTACCCGGTATTTCACAACGAGATGGAAGAAAATCTCAGTCATTGCCATCTGTTCATGATCATTTCATGTTCATTTCATGATCATTTCATGTTCATGAACAATGACTACGAGATCTACATACAAGACGAATACTCAATGAAGCACGCTTTTTTGTTAGTTCGTTTGCAACCTTAGAGCATTTTAATATACAACAAGTTGACCTTCTCGGTCATCACAGTCTTAAGTGCTTACTTCGAATTCATGTCTCACACACTTCAATAATCACGTGGATTTCATGCCAAATCCCGCGCATTACGGCTCTTCACTACTTCAGAACCGACAGACGTACCTTCAACTGTAAAGTACCCTACACAAACGCGCCTTGATTGACGACTTAAATGTACTTACACGTGTGGGGCTGAATAGGAGCGACCGTTACAATTTCAACTGTGCTCGCTAAGCTCTTTCAGCACGTTTCTAGACACGTACACAGAGATGTTCAATAAACTGTGCAATCAGTGCAAATCTAGAACATATGGTAGTACGTGACAATAGTTCTTTTCTTGTAATTGCTTAAGTCAACATATACCAGTAGTATTTGGCTACACTCAATTGGCATAAGCTAGCCATAACAATGTATCATGCTGGCGTTATATATTCCTTGCTTAGTTTATATATTCATGTAAGCCCAGTGAGTATATGAGATGTATGAGATGATTTTATCTAATACTTGTCAAACTTTATCTCGTTGAACATATGCATTCCAGGGAAAAGATATGTTATCTACAAAGTGTAAAAAGATATGCTATATCATTATTTATGTAAAACTATTCAAGGTAACATCCTCTGGGCAACATCTACCACCACTTTGAATATGTTCTGGCGTAAAACCACTAGCTCCAAAGATAAGAACTACATGCATCCCAGAGGTACTGGGTAATATATGTTATCTTTTGGTGCAAATGATTACCTTGAATTTATGTTAACTAATCCAAGGTATAACAACGTTCAGGCAGTCTCTGAAACATTAAAGATACAAAAATGTATGTATTTCATAGACAAGTTTTTTTTTTACATGCAAAGGACTAGCCGTAATCCAGAAATGCGTGACACTTCAACACTATCAAAAATTGTTGGGTGCACGGTAGCAAAAAGTTACTTCCTGTATCTAATGGCTATGAGCCAGCATCTCTTCTTATTCTGATGAAGAAATATCTGAGGATTTTGCGGTTGGAAGACAATAATATCAGTCAAACCGCACTACAAAGTGCCGCTAGGCACTGTCAGTTCCATTCACTGCAAAATGATAACGCATATGATGAATGATAAGAGTTCTTGATGTTTTCCTGCACACAAACAGATGTAATAGAAATCCATTAGTCCTAGGTAATGATACACGAAGCATGCACATAATTCCCATTGCCGAAATTAAAAATTCCTCGTCTGTCATGTAGGAAATACGTGATATGATTGCCAATGCCAATGTCAAATGACTTCCTCTCCCACTATGTTACCTGAGCTTACGTCTTATTTTCCTGCATTATTAGAGCACTTTACTCCGGCAGCTTCAGCAATGTAATGGTTATCCATTACAGTGATAGCAGCTAACATCAAAGACAACTGGAGACGTTCCTATCATTGCTTTCTTTAGATCATGGATCCGGTGGAGGAGTTGATAGCCTTGGAAGGAGATCTAAGTCCTACTGAAGGTTTTCAATGCACGAGTTAAGCCTCGTGGGTGCGGGATACACCACAAGATAGCCTCCTTTTTCCTTGTTTCTATTGAACTTCCATTCTGTAGAAGTGTCACCCTAAGGCCAGGCCTTATACACAAAGGAGAAAAGATGATGTTTTGAGACTGTTAACAGCGCGCACAAAACAATGCCCCGTCATAGATAATACGCCAAAGCTACAGAGTCCAAAGAACTTGGATATGTTATAACCGTTATGCTTTTATATAATTTCATAAGCGTCGGATATGTGGATGTATACAGTTTAAAAGTGCTAAACAATTGGCAACGATAGCATTCTATGAATACGATTGTGTCGTGATGAGAGTGTGTATACTACAGAAGAAGTCACGACCAACAAATCCTAGTCAGACCATTGAAAGACCACATGGTTTATTTATATCCAATAAACTCAAACAAACACGTATTGGCTTAGGAGAACACAGTTTTAGCCTTGTGGTCCAGTAACTAGATTAAAGATAAAGGCCTTGGACCAGAGGGTCAATGGACTGGAATCCTGTCTAGCCATAGGTCGTCTGGATTGACCAAGCCGGAAAATGTTGCCAGCCTTTGAAAAGGGCGAGGTGTTAAGCTGTACACGTCGGCCCAGGATTTGGACTAAATCTTACTCCACGGTGTACGAATTAGAACAAATCCAGTTCGTAGCTTTGCGCACAGCATACCAACTCTGGTGCGTTACACCATTCCGCGGTCTGCCGGCAATGCGATGCAGATACAAAATAAAATATTAAAAGAAATCGATAAAGACATGCTCTCTCTGCACCGAGGACAATTTTATCTCATACAGCCCCCAATTCGTTTCGACTCAGATCGATGCAGAAAGCATCGCTGGAGGTAATAGACTGTGAAGCTCAACGCCGTTACCAGACTTGAGTAAGCAGTCTGGCACTAAGCCCCCACTACTAAACTACTTTGATTGATGCTACATGTACTTCCCAAAGGGAAAATTGCAGTAATATCTATCTTGGCATAATCATGCAATAAATTACAGCTACTTCAATAAGAAGCGACATTAAGTACAATTTACAGCACCGAAAATAAACAAATATCAACATGCATCATATTTCATCATACAAGTTATTGAACTAAGTAGTATTGTCATATTTTTTTCTACTTCGGTACAGTGCATAATGTAATTATACATAAATCCATTTAAAGATGGCAATAAGGGACTTTGATCGTTGATGGTGAAGATATATCATTAAACAATGTCCTCACGGAGAGCAGATATGTTTGATCCTGCTCATTCTAGGATGTAAAGCCCTTGGAACATGGATGTGATTACTTTCCTTCCACCCACTGGCCACTTCTCCATTCAATTTCATTACCAAGTTCGCCCCTATGCCTCTACGACGCCCTGACCTTCAAGGTCCTTTGTATGACCTCATCAAATACAAGACTTTCCATATCTGCGCCTGTACAACGGTGATCAATTATTTGATACCCGAAAGGAATAAAACAAGATCACATCAGGATGATACCATCAATTACGTGCCCAATAACGCGGTATCCCGACAGGCCACAAGCAAATTGCGGACTGCGGTAGGGCCGAGGGAGACATAGATTAGTGCTTACTTGTAATTTGCGAGGGCTGATATATTATTGGCTCTACGGCCATTGATTGATATGTGCTGTGCAGCTGATCAATATACCAATCAATCAATCATCCGCAGGCGTCAGAAGCTGCTGCATAGTGGTTGTACAATCTCTACATGATGTGTGGTTGAAAACAAAAACTTTTTTTGAATTAGAGTTCACGCTGCATTGTAGACGTCTGCATTGTCAACGAGCAAACATTGTAGAAGGAAAAAATACCTACAACCGGATTCTGAAGATTTCGTATAAACAACCTACATAGTCATGAATGGTTAGAACAAAGACTTGTTAGGCTTCCCAAATCTTGTCGTGTCTTTGTCTACTACGCACCAGCCTTAGGCAAAGAACACGACCCTTGTAGGATTTCTTAAAACTTAATGGGATAACCTTAAACCAGTAACTGTTAATAAAATAAGTCTACATTTATGAAGGCGCATGACGGTTAACAATCTTTTTCAGAAAATTCATTTTGATAATGTCCACATAGGTGCTGTCCAATTTCATTTTGGGCTGTATCACATTTCAGGCATTGTTTACATTACAAGTCATGTTTTGCAAATTCACTGTAATATCATCGGTGCTTATTTCATTAAGTTTGACCTCTAGTCTAGGACTTTTACGTAATGTAGGTTTATATATTGTCATTGATTACGTTAATGAATTAGGCACCATCCAACTGCGCACGGCTCAAAATAACGTCTGCAATTACCCAGGCAATCCCCAGTGTAGTAATTACATATCAATTGTGACTTTTCCTTCGGCAGATCTAACTAGAATTTGCGAGGTGGTGAGATATGCAGGCATCTGATGCGGACCTTCTTTTTAATGGTAGCTAACATAACCTGCTATCTTGCAAAGCTTTGTTGTATAGAAAGGCAATAAAAAACTTAGAAGCAAGTATAAAAATATCACCAATTCTCATCAATGATAGTGTTATGAGTAAACCTTAAAGCTAGTACTTCTCAAAGTTGCCTGCAAGATGATGTAATAGACTACGTCTTTTTCCCTCTTTTAATGAAAACAATACGATGTAATAATGAACTATGGATTTGTTTTAAAAGCAAAGAAATAGTCTTTGGTTGAGGTCAGTAACTGAAATGTAATTGCTGTCTCCTAAACAATTATAGTAAACTATGGTCAAACAGTCAAACAGAAAGAAACTGTAAGTACAGAAACGAAGAAAATGCAGTCATGCTAAGAGATAATGTGTTGCGAGTGTGCACAACCCCGTCCCTTGTCAACCTTTCCGAGTTGACAGCCCGCACGGTTTGACGCGTTTGAACACGTATTGCATCGCTTGTTTACGTAACCTTTCTGCAATCTCTGGGAGACAAGAGCAAAGCCCACAATCACGACTCCGCCCGTGCGAGCCTCTACGTTGATCCGTATTCCTAAAAACATTACAGGATGGAAATGGCTTACGACGCAAAGACATGTACTCAGGTCTTTGATTTTCTTCAGCATGACATTCGACGTGAGTCAAGACTGTCAGAAATGGCTTCTTTTGACGTCAATGGGATGTACGTATGAGTGAAATGCACCCTTAGTACTAAAAGGGTGGTAAGGCCCTCCCTAGGGCGGTTATTACTGGACTCAAGCGTCTCATTTAAAACCAACACCGACACCGACCGAGTAAAGGTTAAAAAGGTGACCATGAAGGTTGACCCCCACTCTTCAAAACTGCAGTTCCAACAGCAAGAGGCATTGGTTTTTAAATCTCGGCTGAAGTGTTGGGCGGGGTATGTATGGGTAATCATTTTCTCGGAAACCGAGAGCTTTCCCTTGAGATATTTGTTGAACATTACATAAAGGAGACTAGCAGCAGCGTAATATGGACCTGGGAAGATTACTGTGGAAATATCCGCTATCTGGCAACAAGTGGCAATTCCCTCTTAAAATACCCAGCCGTCGTAACCGAATGTTACCAAAGCCGCGGACTCTGATCTGTTTAGGACCTTACACACAATTGTTTTTATAATCACTGCATGGAAAAACGTTAGTCATCACTACAAGAATCCCAATCTTTAAGCAAAGATTTAAGTATGCGTAAATCTTCACTAAATACCCTTTACGTATGCTTAAAAGTGGACTTGAAATAGGATTCCGTGCGCTGTATCTTTAGACACTGATGAATATACGCTACAGGTACGTCTAAACAGTGCTTGAATGGCCTCACAACTGGTTACATGCCTAGAGAATAAAGTATGCAGACATCGTGAGCTCTCCACAGAGCGCCAGTTGTGAGTGCTCTTAGCCAGTTGATGTTGGCAGCTTGAAAGTTAATTTGGGAATAAGGAGAAAAAGTCACGACCTGAAGTGCTGACGGTTTTTTGGCATGCCGTAATGCGAGGTCACTTTTCACTCCACTGAACGATTCTGTCACTCAAGGTGCTAAAGGGTTTCATTGGGTTTCCTTTGGCGAATTACATCATTAGAGGTTTACTGTGTCAGCAGAATACTTAGACCCTTTGAATTGCCGGCTTTAAAATAGTGCAGACAATGCCATCGAAAATGCACTTCGTCTTCTACAATGCACTAACGTAGTGCAAATTTATACTAATACATGTCATAAAAACTTCATTAATGGTTTCGATATATACAAAAGTATTGAAATGATTCGTAAAATGCTTGTAAAATATTGTCGTCTCAGAAATGGAATTTTGCTCACTGCACATTTAGTTTGGGGCAACACAAAAACTCGATTTGAATAGTCTGCAACTCAGTGGGGACATCTTACGGCCTGATGTGAAACTGCAATATGTTTTGATATATAGGGAGTGGGGAAACAACTAATTGAAAAGTAACTGGGATACTAAAGATTCTACGTTTCGTTAATTTATCGATTGCCAACAATATTAAATTGTGGTGACTTATAACCCATCAACATGATGAATATGAGCTGGGTTTACGTTCAATATATCTTTTACACTGAGGTTGTTATCATGTAACATCCTTATGCTTTACGCATACGTGCATACATCATACGCTGGCAATTGATCAATCAAAAATGACAACTTAGAGTGAAAAGATGATTGGCGCGGAGGTCACTGGTAGATGTCATTTTGGTGTCCATGTCATTAGTGAAGCCTCGGACAGGGCATCGCTATGTTATGAGTAGCAATCAACCATTTGGCAGTATTGTCTGAGTACCCTGTTATTAATGACTGTTTCCATGGAGATACAATTATGGGAGAGTTTCCCATCCTACAAGAGAAAGGGCCGACTAAACGAATGCTTTTAAGCGAATATGACCTCAATTGGGACGGAAATAAGCGAGACCGTGAACGTTACCAGACCAGGCAGCAAGCGCACAGTTAGAGGCGTGGAGGGTTTTCGACAAAGGATGGAACATGCTGGTCTGTAGGACTGATGCCTTCTTCATACATTCAAAGATTTGTTACTCGAGAACTGGATACGCAGTTCTGGCTGTTACCAAGTTTTAAACATCATCAAAGCTTGTTCCTTGGTCGCATTTCAAAGAGGGAACTGTGAAGATCAAGAATGTGTGGTCCATCGCTGCCATCACAGCAACCTAGGAAATCTACCAATGCACTTGGACAACGATAGACATCATCAGCACAAGAACGGATATTTTACAGCAGTAAACAAGGAAGCCGATGGAAATCGTACATGTACGTAGCTGGCGTTGGCACTCGGAGTATTGGAAGAATGTGTTTGACGGGTGTGGGTCCACAGTCGTGAAACATTTTGCTTCATGAGGATGTGACAAATGCCGCACAACAGTTTGGCATAAAAGGCTTCAAGGGAAGGACTCTGGTTTTGAAGTCATTGAAATGCTCCATGTGCGGGAAGACTTTAAAAGAACACGCTATCAGTTTGAATACGGCATCTGGTAATAGTGAACCAGTTCTGAAGCTGTAGACTGGATACTAATTGGGAGATTGCTTTACTTTCGCCTGAGCTTTGATGTCCGCCATTTTGGTTCCGCCATGTTTTCGAGCTTCTATGAGTTCCTGTTGTTCCTCTATGACGTAGCAATAGTCTGCATCATGGTCATGTGTGTAATCTACATCAACTACGTCATAGTAACGCGCTGGATACCCGTGATGATTGGATTTGTATGGGGACTGGTACAGGACTACCTTCCTCCACACATATCAAGGAAAGGGGATATCATTCTGACTCAAATCGAAGCGGATTACTACGCGTTCATTGATTGGTTCGAAGGCTTGAGGTACAAGCTGAGAGAATGGTGGTACCGTGAGCCGGTGGTAGAGCCAATAGAGGAAGATTCCGGAGAGGACAGAAGGCGAAGTTCTGTGGACCTGTCACTCATAACGGCCATGCTTACGACGTCACAAACCACACCTCCCACAGATAAGGAAAATGATGAACAAACAGTCGTGAAAGGTACCGTTTCAAACAGTAAAAATACATCAATATAAACATCAGCTTTTAATGCTATGTCTATAACTAGCAAAATTTACTGCAGTATTTATATGTAATTTTCATAAAATCAGTAAGTTTGATAACTGGGCCTGTGATTACCATTTTACATGGGATGCACATTAGAAGCGGTGCCTGTGGTAGGTAGTTGCAAATACGCAATTAGTTAATATGAATGCAAGGCATCATTTAGCTAACCGTCGGTCGAATGAGATTGCGAATGAGAGCTCGAACTAGGGCACAGTGCGGGAATGAATAAACATGTATTGCAGTAATGTCCTTTCACCAAGTAACGCACAGTACATAGTATTTTTATAAATTGCACATAGTTAAAGGGTAGAAGCTCTGAGACAATTAGTACACATTTACTGTTAACTCCGACGTCGGGAAAATAGCTACTTTAAATGTAATGACACTCGCTCGAATATCTCATACTGCAACACTGCGCAATTAAAGTGAATCCGAGATCTTCATAATGCTTTGAGCAACGTTGGACCAATTTTGTTATCTAATCACTGATCCATCCAATTTGAAAACAAAGGAGACTGACACGATATCAAAAATAGTGTAGGACCGGTTCCAGTTTCGTGACATCAAATCAGAAACAAAAAAATATTCTATCTGGGTTTCGCTCCAGTACCGAAAACCAAGTGGGAATTGTGAGCGCAAAAAGGCGCCTCATTTTATAATGCTACATTGGAATAGGCAGCCAATTATGAATCTCTCCGGTACAAACTCCGGAGTAAAAGCTTCCGTTCTTGGGAACTGTTGGGGTTTTCAGCCAGACTACATGTCCCTCAACACCTTGTTAAAGATAAACAAAGTACTAATTGGCATCCGGTATATTGAGCCAACACCACCGCTTGGCATACGTTGTCATCTGAATTCTAATATGTAGATCTGCAGGGCATTTACCTCATGACGTCAAATGGCCGGGCAATCTATTCTGTATACAGTAAAGATGCAACATGTGCGGGCAGGCGTCTCTACGGCCTTTCATCAATGTGATTGAATTAATAACGCTTTATCCGATGTGTCTGTTGCAGTTGCCAACTCGGGGGAAAAGAACGCAGTTGAAAATGACACGCAGGGCTGCTCGTATGCAAACCCCCAAGGCTTCGTCCTCGAATGGTAAGTGCGGACACAAGACGGTTCGTCGTGTCACACCTTTAATTGGCCATGTTATTTCCCCACCGTTTGTTAAAGCCCGACTGATTGGAAGATAGAAAACACAGTGGGAAGTCCATATGGTTTGGTCAGATACTGAAATGTACCCAAAGATGACGCAGTGTGCTATGCAATAACCTTTGGGTGGTTATCGTCAGCACGTGTCAGTGACTATCTTAGAGCTCAATGAGCCTCTTTTCTGGTGTAGGTATTGGTAATTAGATCATCTGATAAAGTTGTGGCATGACGCAGGTACACTGATAAATAATTCCGGTCGCACGAATCTAATCGTTCCTGCCTCGGTGGCATCCTGAGTGGTAGTGGATTCACGCTGCAATCATGGCGGATTCAAAACATCTGTCTCAAAGGCCTAATCTACGCGCTCATCGCGGCAGACGAAGGGAGTCTCGTCGGAAATCTTCCATTTTTGAGGAAAAAACGATAGATATCGTTTCTCCCGGTCACCTGGTTGGGGCGACCAATCATGTGTTTTGCATGGGAAGGCGGTTTGCAACGGCTTATCAGTGTCTTGAAAGGAGCGCCATCACCAGGCACTGGAGTAAGTACTCTTGATGCGTGTCCTAGTTTGGCTCAAACAAATTACACTTGCGAATAGATTGTAAACATGTATCAACAAACTTGCAGAGGGGCTGAAACTGATAGAGGTCTTCAAAAAGATGCTAAAACCAGGTGCTAAAACAGTATGAAAGGACTTCGCTGACCAGAAAATCGTAATTCGAGTAGCACTTACTTAGGCAGTAGGATAGTGTTCAAAAATGGCAAGATATCTTTCAAATAGAAATCATTCTATATAGCCAAGACTACAGTGAACAGAGCAGAGTAAGTCAGTGCAGTGCTATTCTTAGAGGTTCTAGAGGTCATGTTGCTTTGGACTAAGGTTGTACTATGCCGTGCCACGTTATCCCCCTTTAGAGCAGCAATCCTTTAAAAGGTCTATAAATATTTACGGGTAAGCTGCTTACAGATTCGATGTAAAAAGCACCAGCAAGCAGGTTGTTTTGCACGGAGCCCGTATTTTCTGTAAAGTAGACACATGTACAACTGGTAGTAAAATGATTTGTAATAGGTACTTGTACGGGTAGATGACCTTAACCTTGAAAAATCAATCAATCTTTACGTAAAAGGATGCAACCATTTACATCTCATTAGCTTAGGACGTGCACAACCGCTCCTAATTCAAGAGTCATCCAGTAATGAAACTAAATATGGCCTGTTATTCCGGTACCATGACACTGCTTATTAGTGAAATATCACGCTTATGCTATCTGTTTCCATGGTCCCTGGATGGATTGGTTTTCGGACAAACTACATTACCAGAGATAGCGTTGGTATGAAGAGATTTTCAAATCGTGACTAAGCTAACCGTGGCAAATTTCAGTGAGGCTTTTCACTAAATGAATACGCTGGTGTGAAATATGATTATCAGCAGAGGGCTGAAGTATTGGTAGTGGATTCCGTTTGCCAAAGCTTGGAATTTTCTTGTGTCACGACGGTGAAACCCTACCCGGCTCTATGAAGCATTTGCTAACATGAAAGTTGGTAGCTGTTGATACAAGGTGCTTATTTTTCCTTCCATATTAAGAATCAGTATCCGGAAAAAGACTCACACCTCGGAAGAAGGGCAGCCCGCCGCGGAGACAAGGACCATCGAAGGAGGACCTGACCATGAGCCTGGAGCTGTGCACAGATGATCTGCCTCCTACAGACTCACTGGAGGCTCTGGAGAAGGCTAGTAAAAGGTCAGACATCACACTTACACCCTTAAGCATTTAACCTTTGAGTTCGTAGCCTCTCCTACATTCCACTTTAAACATAGCATACTGTATAGATGGGGTAAAATGTTAGCAGTAACTGTTTTCCCCATATGCATTTGCCCATATGGATTTTATTTATTTTCAAGAGTGACTGCTATTGTGTATCATATTGATTAACATGGGCACGTCACGGTGCATATAATGCATAACGATGGGTTATTAGATGTACACCACTTTGCACTGTAATGAGGAATTATACTTCAAAGGACCCCAATGATACTATGTACCTATGCGTGTTCAACACTCATACGCGCCAGTGCATAATCACTTTACACAACATGTGTAGAGCTCTTCTAATTCAATAGATGATACAGCGTTTTCCCTACCCTTATAAGGTAATAGATTTCACGTCTGTACTGTAGCTAAATCATTTGCATGTCCGCTCAGTAGGGTAACATGGATGTTCTAAATTTTGATTTCCTGTAAGAGATTGACTTTTATTTCCGTTGACAGGATACGGAAGATCTGTACGTTTCTCCAGTCCCGTGGCAATGTTCCCAGTAACCTGCTCAAGCGTAACCTGCACTACATCGCTGATGTACTGGACATCGTGGTCACTGATGATGCCAGGTGACCCTCTACCTCACATAAACCTTAAAACACCATATTTTTTCTAATATCTCAACCAAACGTAAAGTAGCCAAAGGGGAGCCCGTAACTACAGCCACATACATTTGAATGGCTGTCACACATTGTAACAAGATATAGGAGATCTTAATATTGGTTTTCAAGCACCATCGATATGTCTTCTTCCTTATCTGATTTCTGTCATAACATATCAACTAGAAGTGTACATGTGAGATAACTGTTTTAAAGAATTTCTCACAGAACAGTGTCCATGTGTCATCATGTAACTGTCATGTTACTTCTTACTTTCTCTCTCCTTCCACCATCCTGTACACCAACTCCTACTAAGCCACGTTGCCCGTTATTTCACATAAACATGCACGAGTTTTATTTTAGAACAATACGTCACAAAAGGAAAACGATTTGGAGCTGTTAAACACGTATTCATAAATATGTCTTTTAATTTTTTATCTAGACAAACTCCATTGAAATAAGTGTGTTTGTGCCGCCTTCCTTTATTTTCCTTTTAGCCAAATGATCGCTCAAACCAATAAGGTGTAAAATAACAAGATATTGATTTTATCAACAGTTCCATGAAATAATTTTGCTCACATTATAATACCTCATTTTTCAGTAGCATTTGTAACAACGTGTCAATGTGTATGTAGACCATATTAATCTGTAAAAGTGAAATGGATAATTTATGAATATGATGACTAGCTATAGCTAGGAATGTAGCTCAAAACCCTGTAAAACGTCGTGTCGGTGTGATTTGTTGGTACTTACAGTATGGCGTCAGGTATGTTTTCTTTCCTACTGCTGACTAGCACTGACTCACGAAAAACGAAAGTACAACAGGATACAAAGAATGACCCATCTAAGGATAGGTAATGTACAACACGATCAACACTTCCACCCCCCTCCCTTCTCTGTAGAGTGTAGAAGCGTAGGAATCAGGTTTAACATGGTAACTGCAACCCTTCGCTTAGTGGAAAACGTTTTTGTTTCACCTGTCATTTGCACTCAGCGAGAGACAAAATCTATAAACGTTAAAGCTAGATCGCGAACGCACAAATGTATTCAGGGATATTCCATTTTTTCAAATGTCTCTGTGGCCATCATTACTGGCCTGTGAAGGCAACTGGAAAGACCATGCTGTGATGTTCAACCTTCAATAATACTCTACATGTAAATAATCTATATGAAACCATCTATATGGTTAACACTTGCACCTAAAAAGCCAAATACTAGCTGTGAACCAAAGAAATGCTATGCAGTCAGCATGGGCTCTTAAGATGGAATATCCTTTTAAAAGAACATCTTCTTTCACTTTTTCTATAAAATCACATTTATGTTCTCTATCTCTATTCTCTCTCTTTCTCTCTCTCTCCGTGCACTACTGACCTGTCATGTAGTTCATTACTCTTGAGTGGTGTCTAGTACAATGTATCTGTTAGTCTGGTGGCAGAGACCGATAAGCGTGCAATGCGGTCCATACAAAGTTTTTTTGTTGTTTCTATATCTCTGAGGTGTGCTCTTTCAGAATCTGAATGATGCCACTCTGTCATCCTTGGGCAATCCGCACAATATGCAAATTAAGGTGGCCATTACTGAAACTCCAGTTTTCGTCAATATCTCAGTAACTACTCATGGTATCAGAATAATTTTGGTGTCTATCCCCATCTTTTGAGGGATAACGAATTAAATTAAGCCATTTCAGTTAAGTTAGAACCACTATTTGTTGTTAAATATGCAAATTTGGGCCGCGTAATATGCAAATTAGGGCGGCCATTACTAAAAATCTGTTTTTTGTCAATATCTCAGTAACTACTCATTGTATCAGAATAATTTTGGTGTCTATCCCCATGTTTTGAGGGATAACGAATGGAATTAAGCCATTTCAGTAAAGATCAAACCAGTTTTTTTTGTGCTGAATATGCAAATTAAAGCCGCACAATAGGCAAATCAAGGTGGCCATTACTGAAAATCTGTTTTCCGTCAATATCTCAGTAACTACATATGATATTATAATATCTTTGGTGTCTTTCCCCATGTTTTTTGGAATAACTATTGAGGATAGGCCATTTCAGTGGAGATCAAATAGATATTTTTGTGCTTAATTTGAAAATTTAGGCCGCCATTACTGAAAATCTGTTTTTCGTCAATATCTCAATAAATCTCATGGTATCAACAATACTTTTGATACAATACACATACATTTGTACTATACACATGTTTTGAAGGCTAGATATTTAGAATAAACCATCCCAGTATTGATCACACCAAAATTTAATGCAAATTATGCAAAAACTAACCAGTATATAGCATGGGAGCCTGTACCTCTGAACACTGATAGGAATGTTAATAAATGATACAATCTGTTCAAAAAATATTAGACCCTTCATAAGCCCACACCTGTGCCTTACCAGCGTCTGTGTACAGGCAGAATAAAGCGCTAACTTGACGTCCTGAAGTTTATGTCAGCGTGGCCCGTGTAGAATTTAAGTCAGAGTTGAATTCTTCTTGATTCCCGGACAGGCCAAAAAAAATAGCCCGGTAGCCGCGGGGTGTCCCACGGCTGAAAGTGTCAAAAACAGCCCGGGAACTACCCGCCAGGGACTTTTTTTTTACAATTGGGACCAAAGGTTAACAGATCTCAAAAAAGATGACCGGCGGCCGCTCAAAAGTGCACAGTCCTAATTAAGGCGAAGGATGGGACCCTACCACTGTCTTAGGGGGAGGACAAGCTTGTCAGGTGGGCAGAATACTTTTCAAAAAGTCTTAAACCGCTCAAGCCATACCTCAGTAGCATTAGTCTTTGATGAACACCTACACCCATTACCTGTTGAGATCGAGGACATCTCTGAAGCTGAAGTCAGTCACCAGGCATGAATGGCATCACTTCAGAGATGCTGAAAGCCGAGGGTGACTGTGTTGTGAGATGGATGCTTTTCTGATCGCCGTACATCGCAAACGCTTTAATAGAACCATAGCCGTCTTCCCTAGTACGCCTTCCCTGGAATAAAGCTGGCATTCAACGGCGATCACAGGGAAGTGCTGGAGGACTGGAAGAACGGATCAGTTACTGTAGTTAAGCTGGAGTCACATGTGAAACGGGTCCTGCTCGGCATGTTCTCTGTGTAGACGCCGGCCGGCGTCATGAAGCCGAGCGTACCCCAGCTGTCAGGGTCACAATTGAATTTTCCTTTACGGCTCCCTGTCGGGGCGCTGAGGCGGCTTCTATGTAAAATTCACAAAACTTTGGTCCCCTTGACGACCGGTTTCTGTTAGGGACCCGTCCGGTGCCCAGTCAGTCTTCTGTCAGACCTGTGCGGGATGCCATAGGGTGCCGACTAGCTCTTGCATTCCGGCCGGGTAGCTACAGGGTCCCTGGTGGGGTCAAGGGGTGATCCTGGCAGGTCCCAGGCTGGTACGCCTGTGGCTGGTATGGTGGGTTCGGCCCTGCTAGTTGATGCGCAGACCCGTGTATGGTCACTATGACTGACTGATGATGTAACTATGTCGAGAACAGCACAGTACCCTCTATATTGTCTATAATTACCTTCTTCTGAACAATTCAAGCACAGAACAACACACGTGACTTCATAATCTTGGACAGGTGCCTGTGCATGACCCGGCGGCTAGGTTACGGTTTGGTCCGGTGAGGTTACGGGGTCGCTTCGGCGAACCTTGCCCGCCGGGGCCCGAAGTGACTTTAAGTTGAGTCAAATCAATTTGGTGACGTCGCGGGGCCAAAAAATAGGCCGGCAGCCGTCGGGAACCCCGCCCATTGCCTTCCAGGTCCCGTTCCGAATTCGGTAGTGCCAAAACACAGGCCGAAAACGCGCTGAGCGGGCCCCTTTCTTGAATTGTGACATAGGCTTAAAGTGTGCATTCCAAAGAAGGGAAACCTGAATGAATGTGATAACTTAAGGGGAGTGACAATTCTTTTTTTATACCAGTGAAGGTGTATGCCAAATGCCTCCTGAACCGCATGACAGATGCAGTAGGCAAGGTCCTCTGGGAGCTGCGAGCAACAAGCTAGCTTTCGCTCAAAGAGATCCTGTGCTGAGCAGATCTTCACCCTGCGGTGGAGGAAATGTGCTGAACTGCAAACCCCTTTAGCTATCAGATTCATTGATTTCTGCAAGGCGTTTGATAGCATCTTAAGTCCCTCTTTATCATGTACAGTTATGGACTGCCAAGTAAACTTATGTATGCAGTTAAACAGATATACTGAAACTCGAAGTGTTGTGTACGGACGGTTGAAGGAATCTAGATACAGCTGGTGGTTTGAAGACGGATCCTCCAAGGTTGTGTCCTGTCACAGATCCTCTTTGTCGCATCAGACGACAGGACTTCATACCCAACACAGATATATGAGCCAGAGCTAACCAACAGCCAGTGTCTACAATCATACGCAAGCGGCGTTTCATGCTAGAAGACGTCTGCCATCTAGACTTAGGTAAACTTGTCTTTCAATATTGAACAGGTTTTGGGTCAGATAAACTATACCAAGGCATGTGCGTTTGCATGGAACATGGGTCGGAATTAGGACCCCTCCTTGCTGGCAGCCAGGTGCGTCAATAACAGACAAGGCCCAAATTTGCATATGTAGCAAAAAAAATGGTTCTATCTTTTATACTGAAATGGCTTAATTTAATTCGTTATCCCTCAAAACATGGGGATAGACACCAAAATTATTCTGATACCATGAGTAGTTACTGAGATATTGACGAAAAACAGATTTTCAGTAATGGCCGCCCTAATTTGCATATTGCGCGGCCCAAATTTGCATATTTAGCAAAAAATAATGGTTCTATCTTTACTGAAATGGCTTGATTTAATTCGTTATCCCTCAAAAGATGGGGATAGACACCAAAATTATTCTGATACCATGAGTAGTTACTGAGATATTGACGAAAACTGGATTTTCAGTAATGGCCACCTTAATTTGCATATTGTGCAAATTGCCCAAGGATGACAGAGTGGCATCATGCAGATTCTGAAAGAGCACACCTCAGAGATATAGAAACAACAAAAAAACTTTGTATGGACCGCATTGCAAGGTTCTCCAAAAATCGGGGGTTTGGCAACCGGACTATGTTGTCTACATGTATACCTTAGCGTAGAGGATTGCCGCCCATACAGGGTTTTAAATGGTTTGTTCCCCAACATGTCTAGGCTATTCGTGCTTGCCCACAGAGAAGGCAAATTAGATCTTCACCCACCTTCCAATTAAAATTGAGTCATTGAGAATTCTTAACCTTGTAAGATGCTTTAGATCCTACATTGATATTTATCTCAAAGTGTTAATAGTACGTTTGCGTCACGTAGCTATATAGTAAAGATCTTGTCTAGCATTGGAATAAGAAAGCAACGTAGTATTAGCCTCCATCCTATAGTCTATTCTATAGTCCATTGCCATATATGGAAGGGTTTTAAAGCACCCATTTTACAATAACGTGTATTTATATACATGAAAGCTCCATCTGCTCTATAGACACAATAGCAGGCATGTCCTAGATACTAGGACTAGGTCCTTGTATAACTGTGCCAAGCATACTGGTCAGTTCCTTCTTACTCATCATTTCTTTTAAAGTGGATTCAAACCAAGCTGTTGCCGGTGTAGGACCAGTAAGTACTAAGGGTAGTATTTGATTTGCAAACACGATGTCTGCACCTCATACCGTACCGGGGCTCGAGATGCTACAGCCATCCATGAATAATCTTGGAAACAATCTCTGAAGCCCACATCTACGGGATTGTTTCCACGTAGAATTGCGGCAGATATTTACAGTAGATACTGTTATTCTTGGCAGTCTACAACCTCCTTGGCAGTCTGCAACACCATGCATAATAAAGAAGATTCCAGGAGGACAAAATCTGCCACAAGTCATGGTCAGTTGTGAATGGAAACACACTAGGTACACCGTGTTTTATTTCAGTACCGTGGTGATATTATCCCAGTTATCTCTGTCTCCATGTGGTACTGATTTAACTCAATAACCCTAATGTGCAAATCTAAATGCATGTGGTATCTCGAGTCCTGTGGCGGCAATGGTATAACCCAACACGGTTTAATCATCGTTGGTGATCTTTTTCTGATATGATCTGTTTCAAAAGAATGTTTGAAACAGCGATATCAGAAAAATAATTTTCCTGACGGCAAGATGTTGGAAACCCTTCAGGTTTGCAACACCTTGTCCTGACGAAAACAACGTCGCCCCTCCGTTAACTTCTGCTTCCACCTTTCTGACAGAAGATTTATAGACGAGGACGATGAGCTCAGCGAAGTGGAGCCGGATGCCGTGCCCATGGAGGTCCGGGACTGGCTGGCCTCCACCTTTACCAGGAGCGCCAGCGTCACCAAAAGCGGGGAGAAAGAGAAGAAAACTTTCCGCAGCATCGTGCAGGCCGTGCGCGCTGCCAACCTGGTGGACAGGTAGTGACTGTCACCATGCATGACGTCACGTCATTGATGACGACGTCACTAAAACAGGCCGTCACAAAGTGTTGACGTCACCCCCACATTTTCTTGACGTCATCACCTTGGGAGGGTGTAGAGCATGAAATGTAGTATTTTTTGCATGATAAAGAAAATATCAAGTGACTGAAATTGCATGTTGGCCTGTTCTACCTCTAGTACTGCATGATCTTTCTATGGTAGGCATTTTGAAATACGTCATTAAGATGACGTATATCAGATGTCATGTTATTGAATCGTGTGTGTTGTGACGTCATTGAACAAATTTGCATGTGCATGACACTAGATGTAATGCCATGGTGACATCGCAACCACACCCGGTTCTGAGGTAGCCGTTGGCAACTAGCTATTTGTTGTTTCCATATACATGAAATACGTAGTCCACGTTGCCTTGAGTGACTGTACGTCCGTCCGTCCGTGTGTGTTTGTATTGTCACCCTTGCTTCTATCATTTGCCATGTTGTAAAGTCTCCAATCATGATTGTACAACTCTGTGCCCCCATTGTATATAATGATATACGAAAATGATGATGTGTATAGCAGACCACGATACTTTCCTTTTCCAAACACTTGCTTTTTGCTTTAAAGCTTTGAGTTTGTGCTTGTGTATAAAAGCACCCCACATGACTGCTGACCCCCCAGCGGAAACTTGAACTTAATTTTCAGGTTATACCGCAGGATGTCGACCTCTGCAGTGACGTATCCACCAACAGTCATGAAGCTGTTCAAGGTTTTGTACCAGCTTCATTTACTCGACTTAGAACAGAGTAAAACTTTCTCACAACACAACAAAATACACAATGAATCTTCGAACATAATCCCTTCTTCAGGATCAATGACCCACATATTCATTCTAAACACGTGATCTTAAGGACAGGTGACTTACATAATGGGGTTTAATGCTGGCACAGTAACCGCAATCACTTTGTAACTTTGTCATTGTAACAATAATAAAATGTATTCACTACACTGTTGTTTCAAATCTGTTTCATAGAAAAGGCTTAGTCAGGAAATTACCTTAGTTGATAATACTATCCTTAGTCTCTATTAATTTTCATCTGAAGCTATATCAGGATATTCCTAGCTGAAAAATGGTGCTCATCTTTTCATTTTTTTCTTCTTCGCAGCAATTGGACGACTGGTCTTTCGACGTGTTTGCCCTGAACGAGGCTACCAACGGCCAGGCGCTGCGATACGTCACGTATGAGATCATGATGCGATACGACCTTCTCGCAAAGTTCAAGGTACCATTTTAAAGACATTTTTCTCTGTGACAGGTCTTTTAAAAGCCCCATTTTCAGAGGACAGGGGCCAACAACCACATGTGTGACCAAAGATACTGGTCATTATTGAGATTATACATAATATGTAAAATAATTAATGGCATTCCTTGGATCATTAAATCATTATTACTTTTAGTATGTTATGTGATACACTCTGAGATAAATCGATCAATGAACGCTCTCCAAAAGACCGTTGCAATATCTGTCAAGGATGATATAATCTTCCCAAGAATAATATATACTGTCATGCAATAAAGTCTAATCATATATGTGTCTATCATACGTACTGCAGGAAAAGTCTCAATGCGTTGCTGTGGGCAAAAAAATCTATTGAGTGTCTGGTGACTTAATACGCCGTTTTTTTTCATTCCCCTCGTGACCAGATTGGGGTGGGAACACTCTTCAACTTTCTGGAGGCCCTGGAAGTCGGCTACAGCAAATACCAGAACCCTTACCACAACCTGGTGCACGGTGCTGACGTCACACAGACTATGCACAGTATTCTCTTTCAGACAGGACTAGTGGTACGTTAGGTATCATTTGCATGTCATTTGCATATCATTTACATATAGTTTTCTTACCACTGACTGTTGTTGAAGATTAACTTCACTAGCAAGACCTTGACCGATTCTCTGGTTGCAATTTCGTGTTTTAGGGTTACCACAGTGCCTCTATCGCACGTTCGTAAAATGATTTGATATCTGACTAGATAGGCTTCATTTGCATCATGATATTCTATGAAGATCTATCTCTGCAAATGTGAATGCTATTGCAATTAAATGTTTGTGTATTTTCCACAGCAATGGCTGACAGACGTGGAAATCTTTGCCGTGGTGTTTTCAGCCGCGATTCATGACTTTGAACATACAGGGGAGACCAACAACTTCCACGTCATGTCCAGGTAAGCTCCACATTGCCATGAAAATTATATTTCAGAAACAACCACATTGTATAGCATCACTTCTTCATTCCCACTACTATAGAAAAAAGTGTGTATGCATAAGGTGACACATTACCGTCTCACTAAACTTGCAAAAAGTTTTGACCGATTGAAATTACGATTAGCACAACAGAAACGTTGTTTCTGTCATTTTATGCAGGACGGAAACTGCGTTGGTGTACAATGATAGAGCGGTGCAGGAAAACCATCACATAAGCGCCGCCTTCCGGCTCATGACAGATGACAACCTCAACATTGTATACAACATGTCCAAGGATGATTACAAGTAAGGAACTGTTATGTCATTTTACATTTCAAGGATGATTATACGTTAGCTATTATATGATTAGACATTTCAATTATGTCCAGAAATAATGATAAATTATATAAAATATAAATTATATGATGATTGATTATATACTGTTGAAAACTGAAAATGAACATAGCCATGGAAATAATCAACATTATAGCAAAGGTGTTAAACCAATCTAACAGTTGACATATTTTTCTCTGTTTGCAGAGATTTCAGAACGTTGGTGATAGACATGGTTCTGGCCACTGACATGTCCTACCATTTTGCACAAGTCAAGCAGATGAAGAGCCTCCTATCTTGCCCAGACAAGTACGTACACAGTAATTGTGAACCAAGAGGGTCAATGGGTACAGGCCTATGTTCCAATACCCCTACATTCTCAAAAATGGTTACTAGTAGGGTTGTCGGAACATAATTTGTGTTGTCGGAACAATTATACCATAGGGGTGTGTGTGTCAGAAAATAGGGGTGCAACCATCCTTTCAAAAAATAATATTGCAGTACCTGTACATTTGTAAATATATAGTAACATAGTGGTGAAACAGCCCAGTCAAAATATCCAGGACTGTACATTTGTAAACATTAGGAACATATAAGAGTGCAACAGCCCTGTCAAAATATCCAGGACTGTACATTTGCAAACATCTAGGAACATATGGGTGTAACAGCCCTGTCAAAATATCCAGGACTGTACATTTGCAAACATCTAGGAACATAAGAGTGCAACAGCCCTGTCAAAATATCCAGGACTGTACATTTGCAAACATCTAGGAACATAAGAGTGCAACAGCCCTGTCAAAATATCCAAGACTGTACATATGTGAACATCTAGGAACATATAAGAGTGCAACAGCCCTGTCAAAATATCCAGGACTGTATATTTGTAAACATCTAGGGTGCAACAGTCCTGTCAAAATATCCAGGACTGTATATTTGTAAACATCTAGGGTGCAACAGGCCTTTCAAAAATATTCAGGACTGTACATTTTGTGAACATCTAGGGTGCAATGTCCTGTCAAAATATCCAGGACTGTACATTTGTAAACATCTAGGGTGCAACAGGCCTCTCAAAAATATTCAGGACTGTACATTTTGTGAACATCTAGGATGCAACAGCCCTGTCAAAATATCCAGGACTGTACATTTGTAAACATTAGGAACATGTAAGAGTGCAACAGCCCTGTCAAAATATCAAGGACTGTACATTTGCAAACATTAGGAACATATAAGAGTGCAACAGCCCTGTCAAAATATCCAGGACTGTACATTTGCAAACATCTAGGAACATATAAGAGTGCAACAGCCCTGTCAAAATATCCAGGACTGTACATTTGCAAACATCTAGGAACATATAAGAGTGCAACAGCCCTGTCAAAATATCAAGGACTGTACATTTGTAAACATTAGGAACATATAAGAGTGCAGTGCAACAGCCCTGTCAAATGTACAGGACTGTACATTTGTAAACATTAGGAACATATAAGAGTGCAACAGCCCTGTCAGAAATATCCAGGACTGTACATTTGTAAACATCTAGGAACATTAGAGTGCAACAGCCCTGTCAAAAAATATCAAGGACTGTGCATTATGATTTGTAAACAACTAGTATTAGTTAACATGACATTAGTAAACATCTACTAGTTAACATCATTGGTAAACATCTAGAATGATAACAGAGTTCAGAATGTAGAACATACATACCCAGAATTAATACTTACTTGGTCCCTTTACCGTAGCCATAGCTATATAGAGGACTACATGTAGTTGTAGTTAGGGGGTTATTTTCACCATCCCCTCAGTCGACGGACTTCAACAACTGGCTGGACAATTCAGTCGGACCTGCCTAGAGACAGAACGTTCCTTAGTTACTTCTCTACATATTATGACCGGGCAAACCGTCGCTGGGGACTACAGTGTCCCATTTTTCGTCAAAAAGTTCACATAAAAGTTGACGTACTTTCGAATAGCAGACGACATCTTCACCTTGTAGGAAGATTTCGAAAGAAGCCTTCCTATTGGCTGCAAGGCGACCTACGGGGCCAATGAAAGCGGGCGATACAGTGCGCCGCAATAACCCGGATGTGGATGTCCGCGAACAGGCCAGGGGTCACCTGAACCTGATTACCCAAATAATGCGGGGGCAAGAAGTTACATAGATCAAGGACATTTTGTAATGTTCTTGCATAGATAGAGCTCTTTTTCATCATAGAATAAGATTTCTACGCCAAGATATATGTGAAATGGGACTATAATCTGTATAGTCCGTATCTTTGTAGGCCCTGAAATATTCTCGTTTCCGCATGTCGTCGTTGCTGCACCACTACAAACGCTTGATTGTTACCTTCTCCTTACAGTATTGATAAGGCGAAAGCGCTATCACTGGTCCTGCACACTGCTGACATCAGCCATCCTGCAAAAAACTGGATCCTCCACGAGCACTGGACAGAACTTCTCATGGAGGAATTCTTCAGACAAGTAAGTAGTACGTTGTTATATACTATCAGCCAACTATTAGTGTTGGATACACTTGCATTTTTTTTCAAATAAGAAAATTATTATGATTGTGCATTTTTTGCTCTCACATATCAGGGAAAATGTTGACCTTTATGCATGTATGCATGTGCGTATTGGTAATTTCGTGTGGGTCTCAGTCTTTGGGGGGGGGGTAGTTTTATATAGCATCAAGTCAACATTATATAGTGTATCCCGAAGTTTTACTGTGGTTTATGTAAAATAGTATAGCTTAAAGTTATACTGCGGTTCATGTAGTTTTGTTTTTCTTACAATGTAGGGTGATAAAGAACAGGAGCTTGGTCTGCCGTTCTCCCCACTTTGTGACAGAAAGACAACCATGGTGGCTTCATCACAAATCGGTCAGTATTTGTTTTCTAAAAGACCTCCAATAACAGTAAGATAGTCTGATATATTAGCATGAACACTTCGTCCTAGAGTTTTACTCACCGAAAGTTTGATGAGCCTCTAAACACAAATTGAATACCTAGTGTGGAAGTTTAAATGATTTTTCGAATCATAACATAATAACAAAATAAGTCATATTCTTTCTACACAGGTTTCATCGACTTTATCGTCCAGCCCAGCTTTGAGATCATGAGCGACATGTTGGACAAGGTTGTAGCACCTATCTCTCCTCGCGGCTCCTTAGCCAATCAGAGCAACGCTACCATATCGGAGAAAGTGGAGGGTGAAGGGTCACCACAAAATGGCGACCAATCAGAGGAGCCGTTCGAGTTCAAAGTTGACCGCGTATGGGACGGGCATCTGACTGGGAATAAAGTCAAATGGAAAGAACTGTCAACCAAAGGTGTGTATGTAAACTAGGAAATAAATATCTGTTGTGACATTGAACAACTTGCCGATGTGGTTAAGTTGTATCCAGACCCGTGCCTATCTAGTTCTACCTGAATAAGGGTAGGTTCAGGCACGGATACGTATCCAATAAAATCATTTACCCCAGGTACGGTTCTGGATACGCATGGACTGTGCAGAATCTTGGCTGCATAAAGCACAGTTCTGGATACAGCATACAGGTCATAATGTCACTGAAGACCCCGCAATATTTCCAGCTTTATATGCAATCCACTGCTATCAAACTCATCATTAGTAGCATGTAAGCCCTAACCCTGGAGGTTGGTGTTAACGCTTGCTCGCGTTAGTTGCGTGCTGAGAGTTTTAAAAGTGTTTGGCCGGCAGCAGCTCTCAGTATCGCCTCTCCATCATCGTAATTCCCCTCCTGTACGTCTCGTCGTGTGGCGCCATTCCAACCCATTACGTTAACCTACATGTAGGTGAAACATTTCATTTTCAGAGGCATATCGTCCCGCCGCCCTGCTGCTTGTAATAGGTCACATTTCCCTCCTGGGCGGCCCGTTCTTTATTGCTTTGACGTGCGGCGGTACTTATAACTAGTGGAAAATTGGGTACAGTTGTGGGTCAGCTTTTCCTGGGTAAAGTGTCAAGACCTTGTTTTGCTTTCTTGTAATAGTTACCAGCAACTTTGCTCGACTTTGAAAACTTTGCTCGACTTTGAATCTTATTAGAAAACGTCTGTGTTGTTTGCTGGATATTCCCAGACGAATAAGACTGTGTATAATGAGACAACATACACATCTACGAAATAAGATCCTATAGTGAAAATCAAACTGTTCTCCAACTCAAGAAATGAAAAATGAATTTTTGACCGAATCACTCGGTCTTCATCAGCTTTCTGACCCTGGTGCTGTAGACACGTGACTTTTACCCACGTGTGACGTCAGCACTGGGTCAAAGTTCGTCGGAAGCCGGTACCACCCCCCGTCCCGGTTGAGCGAAGGTTGGTATGCCCTGAAAGTGCATGAGATCCTGGTCACAGTTCGTGTCACTATAAAATAAACACATACAATTGTGATTTTTCTTTATTAAATCGTTTTTAAACGATTCCCTCTTTTGCAGACCAAGCAGAAAAGGAGGCGAGGGAGAAAGCCGCTCAGAAAGAAAAGGCGGATTCAGAGGCACAAACTCAAAACACGCCGGACGACAAAGCCGAGGACAAGAAAGGTATCAACCTCGGGGTCATTTACATTTAGAACACCTGGAAGTATAAAATTTGTTTATTGTAAAAAAATTAAAATGTATGAATCTGAGCTCTGTACAATGTTTCAGATCGTGAAAGTATCAAAGTATTGAATTATTAAAGTCTTAAATTTGTATATTATAAAACGTTTAAAATGTATGGTTTACGCCTGAGCTCTGTACAATGTTTCAGATCGTGAAAGTTCACCGAAGATCACAGCTAACGGAACAGTGAGTCCAGGAGATGCCGTCAAACCGTCAACCTCTCCGGAAAACGACGAACAAGCGTCGACAAAGGAGGAGGCTGTCGGGAAGGCCTCTCCGGAACACGTCGAGAAGAGATCGACGGAAGGAGAGAAAAAGGGAAGCATCGACAGCATCACTGTCAAAAGCGTCACCAAACGGAAAGAATCCGGTGTCTGATAATGCCTTAGTCTGGGACAAATAGACCTTTTTCTCTCGTAGTGAACAGAAAAAAATAATATAGAAAATAGAAACAATGAAAAATCAAAAGAAATGAGGCTTTGGATTTTCTAAAGCGGGGAAAAACTTTGTTGTGACACCAGTAAAACATCAGTTGCCACCGAACAAATATTGCTTTGAAAGATTGTTATTAGCAATTACAGTAAAACCTAGCATTGGACATTTTTTTTCGGAGAAAATCTTTAGTAGAACGTTTAAAGATAGACATGCTGAAATATTGCAGACAATCAAATCTGACAAAGGCCTAATAGTGTATTAATGATGAAAAACTGGAATTGGTGTACGTTCCCCAGAAGACGACAGGATCAATTAGCTCTGTTTTTTTGTTGCTGCCTCCAGGGTAATTACTAAAGACAAAAGAAGCTTCTTACATGTTATACATAATTTAATAGCTGTACATTGCATAAGAATATGTGATTCAGTACATAATGTTCATGCATCAATATCAAGAGCAACAGTTTAAATATGCGGTGTACTGTACAGCTTTTACATTTTGCTATATGTGGTATATGACTTGATGCTATATCTGTATAATCTGTTTATGCTATCAACACTACTAGGCGTGAGTTAAGTCCAGACAGCAAAAGATAAATGATATACATGATATTATATCGATGTTATTGCTGAAGGTATGTCAGACAACCGTGAAAAGAAAACTCAGAAATTCCCTTTCCAAGTCACAGCTTTTATATTTAGTAAATCCAGTCCATCAAAACGTTGGGAATGGGTATGTCTATTCTGTCATGTGTTGGCCATACTGTCCCCATACATACATACAAGTTATCTTGAAAGTTCATCTGTGTTGGTAGAAGTCATTATGAAGTTTGAACTTCAATATCCGACACAATAAATTGGACTCACCCAAATTTTCGACTGTACAACTCCATTCTTTGTCAACAGAGACGGGGGGCGCCACAGACTTTTTGCAACCTATGATCCACTGCTCAAGGAGTCACGTGTGTTATCTGCGTGATCACGGAAGCGGCGGGTTGCTCATTCCATGACAAAGAATGGAGTTGTTCAGTCGAAAATTTGAATGAGTCCAATTTCTTGTGTTGGATATTGCAGTTCAAACTTGTTTCATAATGCATGCAAGTTGTGATGAAGTGACGATGTTGTTATTTGTATAGAGCCGATTCTCTCTGGGTCCGCTGCAATACTTCCATAAATGTACATAGTATAACTAAAGTATAGATGTATGAACATTACTGTCACCGTCTTCAAAGTATTTTGGAAAAAGTAAAGAAGAGCTGCGCAGTCGTTTTGAAGTGTCTTTCTAAGGCTGATATATTTGTTGCAAAGATAAAAGTGATTTTGAATAGATATAAATAATCCCAACAAAATGCCTAGTTATATAATAAGCCGATTAATTGTCAAACGAAATACAGCTAATTATTTACATTGAGAAGACACAGTACGATATATATATATATAAGTATGTATGTATGTACATAAGAAATGTTACGTAAAGCTAGTAGATACGTATATGTATACAGGTAAAGAAACTAGAAGGAAGATATGGGAAAATGTCATATTGCTATTGCATCACTACTTAAAACGATGCAGATTTGCATGCAGGTTATGAGGTTGGTATACGAGACGTTCTATTCTTCAGTAAGGTTAATCGTTATAGATTATTATTTATGTCATAATGAATACATTGTTGACTATTTATAGACGTATGTTTCATGTTTTCCTATAAAGGAATCGAATATTTAATCTCAAGAATTGATAGACTATATCTGCCTCCCTGCCTGGTTTAAGTAAGCTTTTAGATACTCGCTGTCATAACTGTTGTGGATGATGAATAAAATAATCAATGCGTTTCACTCTGCGTCGTCATTCATTTACATTTAGAAACATCGATCACTTAGCAATGCTCTAATACCCTACAGAAGGTTTCAGTTTTCTTTATTAGTTGAAACTTTGAAACTTTATTCAGAATTACTAAAAACTAGTCTTCCTGGTATGCATTCACACATATTCATATTTATTCATTCATCATACTTCAAGAAAGACGGAATTTCAGAACCTCTCAACTGTATAGATTCAACAATGTGAAGAAATCGGAATGACCAAAAATTTCAGCTGTGCAACTCCAGTCTTCGTCCTGGTAGAATGACCCACTGCACCTATCACGTGACCTGAATGGGTCAAACATGCCGGACGGCTTGTATCGTCCACCGTTTTATTTGATGTACGGTTGATTGTCCCACCTTGAAACCTCATAAACAAAGTGTACTTGGAACTTGCGAGAAGTAGAGTCGAATCTACAATTTTCAAACAGGAGTTAAAGCTTGTTTCGTGACAGTACATAGGTATTCAACCCGTGTGTAGCTCTAGCCTGTCAGCAGGGTGTTGAAAAAGACGGATACAATGAACATACATCTCTTTAAACTGCGTTCTAAAATGTATGCTTCTAGCCATTCTCTTATCGCGTTTCCGAGTCCTTTTCTTATCGCGGCAAACGTCTGTCTGTAAATGTAATTTACTGTCGCAATTTCTAATTAATCATGTATGAGAGAACTGTGAACACGGGCGACCTGGTACTAATATTGGAAAATTTGGGCATTAAAATTCCACAAATGTCTTATGAGACACAATGTATCGATATACCTACATTACAATTAATTTCAATCAAGAAATCTAAGCATTATTCATGCACGTCTAAAATGTTCTTCTATAACCAATAACCAGACAAAATTGAAATAAATGCATCGTATATTATTGGGAACTATACTATATAACACTTTTGCGGAAGGATACAGCTCTTAGACCAGGTGATGCGCCAAAGGCAATGAGACGTTTCGTTTGTGCACTACCCTTTCGCCAGTACGGCTTCGGCAAGGTAAGAAAGCCACTTCTTTATGCTATAGGAGAAGTGACTGTAGTCGCGCTAGTTTTCTGGTTTATTTGTGGGGAAACAATTTTTGAGGATGCATTTTAACGCACAGTCGCTTTCACGTTTTAAGCTCTGGTGAAAATTATCAGTATTACATTTTCATGATACAGTGAGTGGAAAATCACCTTCCGTTGTAAAGAGAATGTTTGTAAGCTCTTGATAACGTTTTATGTAACATTGTTTGCTAGATTCTTTGTGAGCCTTTGAACTTTCTTTCTAGATTTTCGATGTTACATTTATCATCAAATGGCTGGCTATCTTAGCCCGGTGTCATCTAATTTGAAACGGGGCTTCTTGCACCAGTCTCCCTGGCCGGAAGAGCGAGTGCTGGGAGCCCCGTTACAAATCCGTTGGCGCCTGGGTTTAACATACGCTTGCCAAGTTCTTTACTGAAAATAAATTTAAACTGTCTGGATTTCAAGAATGGTGTTGCAGAAATACAATGAAATTCTTAGGTGTAATATAAATACCACTGAGTAACTAGGGATTGACAAAATCAAAATATGGATGCTCGCGTGCATCTTTCGACGCTTGTGTACATGCATATTGCAACAGGTTAGATCATCCTTGGTGATATGAGTATCTTTTTTACGTGTAACTTTTTGATCTCGAACGTATTCATGTAGTCTGTTCTGGTGGGATGTTGTTTTTATGATGAAAACCATTGTCAAAACTACACAGTACGTGTCATCCACGCAAAAGTGTGAGGTTGAGAGGGCTGTATTTGGCAATGCGATTTTCTCCATATTCGGGTTCTGACTAGTCATGTTTTCCGTTCCAACCACAAAGCTGATTGAAACAATGGCGCTGTGGCATGTTAACATCACCGATCTCAGCAAACTGAACGTGAACCTAGAAGATCTTCTGGCAATTTCGGACGGACTCGCCTGTCAAGATAAATTCAACAACAGTCACGGCAAAGGTAAGCCCCTTTAGGTACTTTAAACCCAGCATGATTTTCTGCAAATCGTCTACAAAGTTGTAGGTTGCCATAGAAATTCTGTTGGTTCAATGTTGAAAGAGGTTAATTAAGTGTGCTATTCTTACGTTGAGAATGTTGATGTTTTGAATCACTGAAGAAGAGGAGGAGGAGGTTTCTTTCATATCCCTCAGCATTGGAGTATACCGGCGCAGCAACCTATTCTTTAGTTTAGTCAGATAAAGAATATCAGATATATTTACTATCCTGAAAGGTTCTTTCAGGTGATAAGACCTGGAAAGGCTAAAAAGGGTAACTTTATGGCAAGCTAATCAGTTGGTATTCCGGAGGTGCAGTGGCAATGTCAAATTTTGATGGCACCGAGACACACACAGAAGCCATGGCATACAGGACCTATAGCAGACCCCGGCCATTTAATTGGCCCCTTTGAACAAAACAACAATTTGGAGTGAAGGGGCTGTTAAAAGTAATCTGGGAGAAAAGGAAGTAGGGAGAAAATCTACCATGAAGTCTACCATAATGATGGTCACTTTGCTGCTAAATATATACGTTATCTTTATCGACATCTGGTTTCTAGCAAAATAGCCAATAGCTACACCGATACCATATCTGGAGGTAAAAGAGGTCTGCAGCAATTTGCGAAGCTTATAGAGGCATTTAAGCCATGCCGTGAAAATCTAGAATTCGAACAGTTTCAAGAACCATACAGTTAACTCTCATCGTCTTTTGACATCATATGCATGCTGCATTTTGTTCTGGCGCAATGGCTATTAATTGCCCGAAAAGGATCATTAACCTTGTCTTCTGCAACAGCCTGTAGCAGAATGTTTACCTCCGTGTAGCAGGAAAGTTAACTTCAGTGTAGCAGGAAAGTCGCCTCAGTGTAGCAGGAAAGTTTACCTCAGTGTAGCAGGAAAGTCGCCTCAGTGTAGCAGGAAAGTCGCCTCAGTGTAGCAGGAAAGTCCACCTCAGTGTAGCAGGAAAGTTTACCTCAGTGTAGCAGGAAAGTCGCCTCAGTGTAGCAGGAACTTTTACCTAGCTCAGTGTAGCAGGAAAGTCGCCTCAGTGTAGCAGGAAAGTCCACCTCAGTGTAGCAGGAACTTTTACCTCAGTGTAGCAGGGACTTTTACCTCAGTGTAGCAGGAAAGTTTACCTCAGTTAAGCAGTAGGTTTACCTCAGTGTAGCAGGAACTTTTACCTCAGTGTAGCAGGAAAGTTTACCTCAGTGTAGCAGGAAAGTTTACCTCAGTGTAGCAGGAAAGTTTACCTCAGTGTAGCAGGAAAGTTTACCTCAGTGTAGCAGGAAAGTCGCCTCAGTGTAGCAGGAAAGTTTACCTCAGTGTAGCAGGAAAGTTTACCTCAGTGTAGCAGGAAAGTCGCCTCAGTGTAGCAGGAAAGTCCACCTCAGTGTAGCAGGAACTTTTACCTCAGTGTAGCAGGAACTTTTACCTCAGTGTAGCAGAACAGTTTACCTCAGTTTAGCAGTAGGTTTACCTCAGTGTAGCAGGAACTTTTACCTCAGTGTAGCAGGAAAGTTTTCCTCAGTGTAGCAGGAAAGTTTACCTCAGTGTAGCAGGAAAGTTTACCTCAGTGTAGCAGGAAAGTTTACCTCAGTGTAGCAGGAAAGTTTACCTCAGTGTAGAAGGAAAGTTTACCTCAGTGTAGCAGGAAAGTTTACCTCAGTGTAGCAGGAGAGTTTACCTCAGTGTAGCAGGACACTTTACCTCAGTGTAGCAAGAAAGTTCAGAAGAGTCCACCATTAGCACTATTGATATAATTTATTCCACATCATGTCGCGCACCCCCTGTGCTCACGTCATTTTTCGGCTCTAGTCAACTGCTTATTTAGTGTTTTGGATTACACGAGGGATTTATAAATCCCACTCGACGAAAACAAATTGGCCCCTGAGGGAGAAACAACATGCGTCATTGCAACCATTCTAAAAATATGAATGGCTGGTTACAATTCTTCGCAGAGTCGTGGGTTGGCTTTCATCCATATATTCGTTAAATGCTGCGTACAGAACATGTACACAACTCACGTCTTTCCTGGACTTGACAGGTCAATTGCAGCCTCGTTTTATCCATCACCTACTTGAGTAAGCACGAATAAGTAAAGCGTGACAACATCAATGGCTGAATTCATCAGGCTGCCTACGCGCGTGTCGATTTGACTAAAAGCCTATCTGACTCATTATGATGATCCCAAAAGGCATGTAAACTAACTTCCGCGTCAATGTCAACCGATTTCTGGAGAATTCTTGTCTAATTTGAACGCGACGTTGCCGACAAGATGGGGACAAATTAAAGACATTCAGTGCAGTTTTAGGGCTTGGAAAGTCAATGTAGTCCCTTATCTACATACTGAGTTGAAACAACACTGTCCCAATATACATTGACATTCATGGAACGACAAACGGTTACTGGAAGGACCTGGGTTGATTTTTTAAGGACTAATCTTGTGGCTTGTTTCTGCAGTTTTAAATGCCTTAAGTATGAAATTCTGATTCAAATGTGCTAATGCGTGACAGAATGTGTCAATATCATACAGATTGCCTTATTCGGAATATCTTCAGTTTTTCCACCCTGAAATTAGATTAGATGCCTTTAATGGGCTTTCAATTGATCTTCCCTATAAAAAGCAACCCTTACAAATTATCGAAGTTGTACGAGATGAAAGAAACGCTGTGCATCGATTTTTCGATGTCTGACAGCTGATAATTAGAAGGCACTGTCAGGATGTTATAACAACTGAAGTTGCTCATGACAGTAGTGTAGAAGTTCGGCGGTTCTAATCCATATGATGACCGGATGTATACGTCACGGATTGCCGTGAATAATGTCTGACTTTTATTTGAGGACACATCCATCACAAAACGTTGGATCTGTAATACATCCACGCTCTGTCTACCGCTTTCATAAAAGATGAGACCCGTCTAAAAACTAACACCATTGCTGGCAACTCAACAAAATGCCGTATTCTTACAGCTTGGATGCCTTCAATTTAGTCTACACCAACTGCAATATATCTCGCTAAAGTGCTTCCGGATGACATCCTCCGCAGACTCCAAATCTATTGCGATAGGGTGAAAAAAAACATGATTTTTATATTTTCAAATTTTGAGATTATAAACCTTCAGTTGTTTAACAATTTTTTTCAACGGCAACATCATATATAAAGGAAATAAAACACTGCAACAAAGTAAAAGAAAAACATTCAATCAGAGCCTTGTCTTGTCTCCAAAACCTGGCAAAAAGTAATGAGTGGGCTGATGGTATCCATAAAAATTACTTGCCGTGGCCTAAGAGAGAAGCTGGCAGTATTATGGCAACATATTATTGAGTCTGAGAGTGAATGGCTGAAAGGCGTGAAGCGTTGCTAACACAAACTGTGTCTGCCTGTCGCTGGAAATAAACGCGTTTCATGCACGCCTCGGGGGAGCATGTTAACCACCATCTACTAGCGGGGTGATTTTTCGGGCAACGCTGGTGAAAAAGCAAGTTTGTACCGTCATAAATATTCTGTGCCTACTTTTGCTTGGACGTATTGGTGACTTCCCTCGTCAGTAGTTGAAGAAAGATGGTGGATGCCGTCTGGAAGCCTCTACGCTTTACAGAACTTTAGTCGTGCGTAACAGCTTAATCCTACCTTTGTACTATGTCTTCTTTCATGTTCGTTTTAACTAATATGTGTGAATTCAATACAGCATTTGTACACGTGTGTAATAGACTCTCAGGAACGCAGGATGATTTAAATGTCTAGTTTTTCTCTAGATGATGTCTGTAAGGGAACTGCTGACTCCAAACCAACGTCAAGTCTCGTTAGATTGTTCCTGTGTCAACCAAAACATGAATAGAACTTAGTTACATACAAAGTCACATCAAGTAACACAAAGTGAACGTACACGACGCACCGAAAGCATTAATACAAAAACTGTCAATTGAATGGTCATGGACACGCTCCGCAGCTTAAGTGTTCCATTTTTAGTGCTGGATAGAGTGCAGGGAACCTTGATGGCCTGCCGAAGTGGCAGAGAGCTAGGGAACGAACCGCCCACACAGAACTAAACTAAAGTTAACGTTATCCATACACCACAAGCTTTAGATATGAAAGTGCACACTTTTTCTTTACTTGAATCTGGTTCTGATGTAAATTATCACAGTCCAAAACTGTGCAGTATTTCCCTGAAACGGTCCGGATACTATATGTAAATTAGCTGCTGCAGTCTGCAGCAACAGTCCGGACACCTTATGTAAATTAGCTTCTGCAGTATGCAAATAAACAGTCCGGACACCTTATGCAAATTATCTCCTGCATTCACCACTCTATAGTATATCTTTCTTGCAATCTGTTCTAACATATGTTCGTGTCGCTCATATACGTAGCTATACAGTACTGATACAGTAACGTACATACTTCAACACATGTACTTGAATGTATAACCTTTACACAGACTAAGGAATCACTAGTGATTATGAAGTATTTATAAATCTGTTCACAGAGACGTGGATATAACAGACTCAGATGTACAGGCACGTCTTTGGCAATTATTTCATATGTCGAAAAAGGGTAGCAGCAAATCAAATCCCAATGGGTAAAGGACAAAATGTCGGTAAACATGATAACCTTTAAACTACACCTCAGTGTGAGATGCAGTAGTCTTCAGGTTGACGAAATGACAGGAAAAGTTAGCTTCTACACTTTTCACAAATTAGCTTCAAAGACACACAGGATGTGAGGTAATTAAAAGGGCGCCGCTGGCCCCTGTGGCCCTGAGTCCATAGAGATATCTTTGGAATCGCATTAACTGCATATCGAATGCTTTCATCACACCACTAACTGAGAGACAAGGAACTTTAGACCCATTAGCCCATTGGAGCACTTAGCCTTTGCACGAACTACGTACGTACCATGCCAGGTTGAAATTCCCTGTAGTTGTTATGTCTGTTTTTTTTCTCAAAGATACTACCTACGCTGCAACATGTAGTTCTGAAGAGGGTCAGAATTACTAGAAACAGATAATACAATCGGGCTTCGGGCTTGTATTTGCAATAAACTCAAAAGTTCATCATCATCATCATCATTCATCCTCCATAATAGAGGTTAACCCTAAAAAAAGTAAAAAAAAAAGTTAACCCTAAAAAATTAAAGATATTGTAAATATTGTAGTAAATGAAGACATCAATGCACATGAGTGATTCAAAAGATTGCAAATTACACTACAAGTGTCACACATAATCGCCTCTGTAATGGTGGCCATAGATACAAATTGTTCCCTATTCGCACTGAGGTGAAGGCGTTTGAAAATTAACTTCTAACACGAACACAAGAGTGTGACTTAACTAGCCCTATTAAAGCTGTTCCAAGTTATCCCGTTTAAAGTGCACTGAGCACGTACACTTCTGATAATCAGTACGTGTATGTGAAATGAATAATAATCTATGGTGCGTAGTCTCAAATAATTGAAATGTAAATGTAGAATCTACATTTACATTAAACATCTCAGGGCAATATCTAAATTCAGTACAAGTATGCACTCCTCACGTACATGACTGAGTTCGCTTTGACTACCATGAAGATTCAATACCTTAAAAGCACATTTAATTTACCACACGCGAAGTTTTCCTATAATAATACAATAATGGGTAGATGTGCACCTGTATGGGTGATTGTTTGGATGAACAGAGGGATTATTGATAATAGATAAAAAGAACGTATACACATGTGCATATGGACAGACCAACAATATCGACCTACACAACTCATGTTTTGCTAAGCATGAAAGTTGTTAGTGTTTTCATTTATTTCAGATGCTCATCTACTCGTTTAGTCTGATTAGTCATTCTACATACATACTCATAAATGTTTTCGGACTAGTAGGTGCCCATATGGTGCATGTACAGTACTGCTATTAACTCTCTACGCAAATGTTGTTTCAGTGGCATTACGTGACGAATCGATGCTCTTTGTTTTCTTTAATTCCAACATTTCATGACTAGACTAGGTGACGGCGCACTCAAGTTATATCAACTTATTTTAAGAGGACAAATACGGGACAAGACAATACAGCGATGCTCTTTGGGGCATCCTTTATTAGACAAGACAATTTGACTGTCCGTATCAATCCACGGTGTTCATGATAACTATAAGTCTCTACTTTGGAATGAATACCTGGACAATGGATGTTTCAGTGCAAAATATATAATCCCATTCTTTGCATAGACATATTACGCATACATTTAAGTATACAATAGGAACTTGAAGTATTGTATGAGTGACTTTTTCAAACAGGAGACAGACGTCGACTAACTTTCTTTTGTTACATAAGTAAGATAAGGTTGTGTTACATAACATAATGTCACAGACAGCTCCAAGCTAGCACTTCGTTATGAAAGAAACTCGTGATCGCTGCAATATCGAGCTCGCACTTTCTTATTAGACACTTTGTTATTAGACATGAAAGAAGCTAGCTCCAGTCTACCACTTTGTTATTAGACATGAAAGAAACTCGCTCTAAATAAAAATGAGCAATACGTGACGTGGACGTAGCTTAATACAAATGCCAATAACCTGTGTACTAAGTCATATCGACGATATACTAACAAGTAAAATGTTACCCGAATCGCAACGCAAACATGATTTATTCTATTGATACTTTTTGACGCTTAATTCTAAGACGTGGACATGCTTTGCTGCCGGAAATAGCTGTTAAGACCTTGCAGCAGTATGCCGCTCTGTTCTGGTAGAACTGGATAATATCTTATACATCTGCAAAGCAGCCTTTGAATTTCTGCCCCGACGTTGCGAACTATGTCAAATATGCTATGCTGCTTTCATGTACTCATGTAATTCAGACACATCAAAGCAATGTGTGAGGTGATCCGTATGCTTGTAGAGGCCAACACGCACTCTGCCCATATTTTCAGCTGATCTGAAAGGTCCTAACGGTTCAAACTAGTTCTGAAAACCGTGAAAATTGTATCTCCAAATAGAATTGCTGGCATTAGCTTAAAGAAAAAAACACTGCGTCACCGAAGAATATTTTGCAGCGGTGTGTTTGTGGCTGGATACCGAATGAGTTCTACGCGTGTTTTACATGATGGAAAAGTGCTTCGTGTGTGCGTGACTAGACTTTATGTCTTTAAACTTCGAGTTAAGATAAAACACCGAATGGAGCAAGAGTAACCATTATGCAGCCATCTAGATAACCAACTACAGAGCAGGGAGAGTAACTACCCAGGGGGGTTTAGTCCCAAACGTGAGCATAGTTGTAAACGTAAATACCACATGTCAACTTATGCTGAAGCTTTAACTATCCAGAACGATTTTCACGGTAGGAACTGCGGAAATTACATGCTGGTATTTACTACTTCTATGCACGACACCGAATGTGAATATCATGCAAATCTGCAACAATTTTCTCCCTAGTGGTGGTATCTTGCACACACAGATATGGCTGTTTAGTGAAAACTGACCAGAAGTTGTAAATGATATTTATAGGGAAAACTTCAGCGACTAAGCAGAATTTTAACACATTCTTCCATCTCTTTTACTTGCCAGAAACATACGATATTCTAGAAACTGTGAGTGAAGATATAGCGCAAAGCGAAGCCTGGGGCAAAATGTCTCAACCCTAAGTACATACGTGCGTGACTTTTAAAAGTCGTGAAAGCATTACAGTGTAGAAAGTGCGATATATATCATATGACCATGCTCTTAGACATGTTATATAACTTGCATCAGAAACGTTTTGCCAATTCCCACAAGG